GCTCTTTGCAGATAACTGTTTTTTATAAATTGAAGGTTTGTGGCAACCCTGCATCGAGCAAGTCGGTCTGCACCATTTTTTGAACAGCATGTGCTCGCTTCATATCTCTGTGTCACGTTTTGGTAATTCTCGCAATATTTTAAACTTTGCCATTATTATTATATTTGTTGTGGTGATCTGTGATCAGTGATGTTTGATGTTACTGTTGTAATTATTTTGGAGCACTGTGATCCATGCCCGTATAAGACGGTGAACTTAATCAATAAATGTGTGTGTGTTTTACTGCTCAGTGAGGAAGGCATGTCTAAAGCCGAGATAGGTCTCTTGTGCCAAACAGTTAGCCAAGTTGTGAATGCAAAGGAAACGTTTTTGAAGGAAATTAAAAGTGCTACTCCAGTGAACATACGAATGATAAGAAAGCAAGACAGCATTATTGCTGATATGGAGAGTTTTAGTGGTCTGGATAGAAGATAAACCAGCCACAACGTAAAGCCTTAACTCTCTTCATTTCTGTGAAGTCTGAGAGAGATGAGGAAGCTGCAGAGGAAAAGTTGAAGCTAGCAGAGGCTGGTTCATGAGGTTTAAGGAAAGAAGCTATCTCCATAACAGAAAAGTGCAAGGTGAAGCAGCAAGTGCTGAAGTAGAAGCTGCAGCAAGTTATCCAGAAGATCTAGGTAAGATAATTGATGAAGATGGCTACACTAAACAATAGATTTTCAGTGTAGATGAAACAACCTTATATTGGAAGAACATGCCATCTAGGACTTTCATTAGCTAGAGAGGAGAAGTCAATGCCTGGCTTCAAAGGATAGGCTGACTCTCTTGTTAGGGTCTAATGCAGCTGGTGACTTTAAGTTGAAGCCAGTGTTTATGTACCATTCTGAAAATCCTAGGGCCCTTAAGAATTATGCTAAATCTGTTCTCCCTGTGCTCTATAAATGGAACAACAAAGCCTGGGTGACAGCACATCTGTTTTTACAACGTGGTTTACTGAATATTTTAAGCCCACTGTTGAGAGCTACTGCTCAGAAAAAAAAGATTCCTTTCAAAATATTACTGCTCATTGACAGTGCGCCTGATCACCCAAGAGCTTTGATGGAGATGTACAAGGAGATTAATGTTGTTTTCATGCCTGCTAACACAACAGTCATTCTGCAGCCCAGGGATCAAGGAGTAATTTCAACTTTCAAGTCTTATTATTTATGAAATACATTTCGTAAGGCTATAGCTGCCATAGATAGTGATTCCTCTGATAATCTGGGCAAAGTAAATTGAAAACCTCCTGGAAAGGATTCATCATTCTAGATGCCATTAAGAACATTCATGATTCATGGGAGGAGATCAAAATATCAACATTAACAGGAGTTTGGAAGAAGTTGATTCCAGCCCTCGTGGATGACTTTGAGGGGTTTAAGACTTCAGTGGAGGAAGTAACTGCAGATGTGGTAGAAATAGCAAGAGCAGTAGAATTAGAAGTTGAGCCTGAAGATGTGGCTGAATTGCTGCAATCTCATATAAACTTTAATGGACGAGGAGTTGCTTCTTATGAATGAGCAAAGAAAGTGGTTTCTTGAGATGGAATCTACTCCTGGTGAACATGCTGTGAACATTGTTGAAATGACAACAAAGGATTTAGAATATTACATAAACTTAGTTGATAAAGCAGCAGCAGGATGTGAGAGGATTGACTCCAATTTTGAAAGAAGTTCTACTGTGGGTAGAATGCTATCAAACAGCATCGCATGCTACAGAGAAATCTTTTGTGAAAGGAAGAGTCAATCAATGCGGCCGACTTCATTGTTGTCTTATTTTAAGAAATTGCTACAGCCACTCCAACCTTCAGCAACCAGCACCCTGATCAGCCAGCAGCCATCAACATCAAGGCAAGACCCTCCACCAGCAAAAAGATTACAGCTAGCTGAAGGCTCAGATGATGGTTAGCATTTTTTAACAATAAAGTATTTTTTAATTAAGGTATGTACTTTTTTTTTTAGACAATGCTGTTGCACACTTAATAGTCTGCAGTATAGTGTCAACATAACTTATGTGTACTGGGAAACCAAAGTATTCATGTGACTCACTTTATTGCTATATTTGCTTTATTGTGGCAGTCTGGAACTGAACTCGCAATATCTCAGAGGTACGCCTGTATCTATTTTGTTTTCTATTGCTCATGCATTCATTGTTGTGTTTGATAATCTTTCATTGAAAAGTATTGGGTCCTGAAGCTTTGCTCCCTTATTTTCTTCTAAGAACTTTATGGTTTTAGATTTAACATTTAGGTCCTTGATCTATTTTGAATTAGTTTTTGTGTATGATGTGAAGTATGGATCTTGTTTCATTTTTCTGCATGTGGAAATGCAGTTTTGCCAGCACCATTTGTTGAAGAGACTGTTCTTCCTCATTGAATGAATTTGGCACCCTTGTCGAAAATCAATTGACCATAGATGTTTGGATTTATTTCTGGATTTTCATTTCTATTCCATAGGTCCATTGGTCTGTAATTAAACCAGTATCAGGCTGTTTTGATAACGATAGCTGTGTAATATGTTTTGAAGTCAGGAAGTGTGAGGCCTTCTGCTTTGTTCTACTTCAAAATTGCCTTGGCTATTAGGGACCTCTTGTATTTCCATACAAAATTGAGGATTAATGTTTCCATTTCTGTAAAGAATGCTGTTGGAATTTTGATTGGGATTGCATTGTATCTGTAGATTGCTTTGGGTAGTGTTGACATCTTGACTATATTAAGTCTTCCAGTCCATAAGCATGGGACATCTTTCTGTCTATTCAGGTCTTCTTTAGTCTCTTTCAGCAGTGTTTTGTAATTTTCACCGTAGGAGTCTCTCACATCCATGAGTAAATTTATTCCTAGATATTTTATTCTCTTAGTTGCTATTGTAAATGGAGTCATTTTCTTAATCTCCTTTTCAGATTTCTCATGGCTAGTGTATAGAAACCCAACTGATTTTTGTGTGTTGACCTCATATCCTGCAACTTAACCTTTTGGTTCTTGAACTAAGACAGTGGGTAAAATTTCCACAAAGTACAAGACTAGCAAAGAACACTCTTACTGTTAAGCTTTGGGAATCTGATTATTAAATATCCATTGGGTTAATAAATCAGATTAAAGCACTCAGTAATCTAATATTCTGAAGGCATTTGACACTAATTAGAATATTTAAAATGATTAAAGTTTTAGTTTCAGTGACAGGAACTTAAATTGTCCTTTATAATATTCCTGTAGTGGTAATGCTAAATTATTGCAAAAGCCATACATATTCATTCAAGCAAACAAATATAGCATAATCCTATGAGTGGTTAACTTTATAGAGTTTATTATACTTTGCAGTTCACTATAAACTTGTTTAGTTCTCATAACAATTATATGAGGCAAGTACTGTTATTTTTTTCTATTTCATAAATAAGGACACTGAGCACAGAGAAATCAAGGGACTTCCCCAAGGCCACACAGTATTTGAACCCAGGCAGTCTGGCCTTAGAGTTTATGCTCTTAACTTCTGTTTAATATTGCCTCTCACCAGGTAGTTAAGAACTTGAGGTTTGGAATAAGATAGACCTAGGCTTAAATCATGATCGCCACCTACAATGTTCTTGGGATGAGTCTTAGTCATTTAGTGCTGCTATAACGGAAATACCACAAGTGGATGGCTTTAACAAAGAGAAGTTTATTTTCTCACAGTCTAATAGGTTACAAGTCCAAATTCAGGGCGTCAGCTCCAGGGCGAGGCTTTCTCTGTTGGCTCTGGAGGAAGGTCCTTGTCATCAGTCTTTCTTTGTTCTGGGAGCATCTCAATGCAGGAATCTCAGGTCCAAAGGATGCACTCCGCTCTCAGCACTGCTTTCTTGGTGGTATGAGGTTCCCGTGTGTCTCTGCTTGCTTTTCTCTCTTTTATATGTCAAAAGAGATTGGCTTAAGACACTATCTACTCTTGTAGATCTCATCAGTATAACTGCCTCTAATCCATTTTATTACATCATAGTGATAGAGTTTACAACACATAAGGAGATCACATCAGATTACAAAATGGTACACAGTCATAAAATACTGGGAATCATGACCCAGCCAAGTTGACAGATATTTTTGGGGGACACAATTCAATGCATGATAGGATGGGAGTATGTTTTTTGACCTCTCTTAGCCTCAGTATTCTTGTTTCTATAACAAGGGTTATATTAGGGATAAAATGAGATGAAATATGCTACCTGCTTAGCGCAATGTCTGGAAGACACTATGCTAGTTCGGTAGATGGTAAATATTATTATAACAAATACTGAAAAGCAAAACGAAAAAAGGTCACCAAAAGACAAGAACTGTTGTTAGCATTTGGAGGTATATCCTTCCAGTTTTTTTTAAAAATGTTTCTTGACTTTATTACTGTATCTTCTTTATTTATATTAACATATTTTTCTTTCTAGTATAACTTTTTCTTGTTTATGTTTCACACAAAAGGCAGAAGGCTTGAATTTGCCTGTATCCCTTAGAGTAAGACAAGATTGTTTTCAGCTTTTATGTTAGCCAACAGTGTTTTTTGTATGTGTTTAGGGTTGGGTAGGTGATGATATGGGAGGATATAAAAATATACTTACTTTTTTTAAAATTATTTTTAAATAAAATATGGGATTATATTTGAATTAGAATTTCTGGTGTAGTATCTACAAATCAACAAAATGTAGGCTGCTAGAAGTAGACAGCAGAACCAACATGTGTTTAGTATCAATTTTATTAAAATAACAACGAAACTCTGGTTTCAGAATATTTTAAAGTTACTGACTGAAAACACTGTAACTGAATGAATGAACCATTGTCATGAATGTAGACTATTTCCTCTTGATGAGTGAAATTATAGAAGTGTGACCAGATAGTGCACTGTTAAATAAGTTCATTGAGTGTGATGCAGCAGTAACTAAACTAGTCCTCCTTTCTATAGACTTAGCAAAAAAACATGGCTGATACTTTTTTTTCCCCTTTCTTCTTTTAGGTCTACGCACAATGAGCTGGAAAAGAATCGGTGAGTCATTGATGAGAGGTGCAGCTTTAATTTATGTTAAAAAGCAAACTCACAGTTTACCTGTGACAATAATGTAATAGTATATATGTAGTTGAATTTAATTTTAAACTGTGCAGGCGTATCATCATAGTTCTGATGTATATGTATTTCCTCCAAAAAAAAAGTCTTTAAAAGTAAGCCCATATTATCTAAACTGGAAGAAGTATGTATATTTTTAAGCTCATTTGAATTTTGAGTTTATGATATTGCTTGCTTTATTTCTGTCTTTCAAAACAGATTAATTATGATAGGCTCGTGACTTAAAGGATTAGATTTCTTAAGTGTAGGTAATAAACATTATGACAAATTGCAGGACATTGAATTTCTCTTTGCAGTTTCTTCATTCATTTAATTTATTCATGCATTCGACGAATATTTATCAGGCACGTTAGTGCCAGGCCAGGTCAGGCACAAATACACAAATTTATACGATAATTTCTGTACTTAAGGAACTTACGCCTTCATGGGAGAGACAGACAGGCAATTAAAATACTATGTAGTGGGGTAAGTATAATTATGGAGAAGTAGAGGGTGCTGAAAGATCATCTTGGAGGGTTATCCAGTTCTTCTTTGAAGGAATCTTGGAAGGCTCATCACAGGAGGGTGAGTGAGCATTGTATGTTGAGAAAACTGCAAGAGGTTCAGTATGCGTGTGAAAGATTGTAGCACAAGGCAAGCCAGGCTAGATTTTGAAGGGTCTTTTCAAGTATGCTGAAGAGTTTGGACTTTTCCTGAGAGCAATAAGAAGCAGTTGAATGATTATAAGATGGGTTGTCATATGATCAGATTTGTGTTTTAGAAAGATCACTTTGGCTATAGTGTGAAGAATTGGTTGGTTTGGGATACCAAAGATAGGAAGACCCTTTTGGAGCTATTATAGTAATCTAGGTCATAGAGATAGAAGTAGATAGAATGGAGTAGAATCAATGGAAATTTGTGATTAGTTGGCTACGGAATGTTAAGTTTCAGATGGTATTACCATTTATTGAGAAAAGGAATATAAGAAAAGGACACATTTGGGAGAGAAGATACGGATTGTAGGAGTATAAAATTCTTTTTTTGGTACAGTGATTAATAACCAACAAACTGGAATCATCTGCAAGAACCATTTTTGACAAACAAGATCTCCATGACCTTCAACTTTTTTTTCATCCTTTTTCTTAATAGAAGAGTCCTTACAGGTTGACTAGCCTACTGCCTCATTTTGGGATGAGTTAAAATATCATATCCTCTATCAGTAGTCTTAGCATAGTCTTCCAGACAAACTTAGTGGCTTTTACCAATTTGTACAATGCTCTTTTCATATCTCCTATTGTAAGACTTTCTGCCACATGACTATGACTACCTGAGAGACAAGATTCCGTCTTGTTCCATTTTGTATCCTCAGTGCCTAGTACTTGATGCATGCTCAGTAGATGATGGCTATTATAATACTGAATTAAGGCTAAAAGTAGAGCTCAGAGTTCAGTGGTCTAGTTAAAGACATTTTGCTAGTTTGTGGCAAAGCAGTTTTCGGCAGGAGATCCTCCTTTTTTTCAGAATCTCTCTTCTGCCTTATTTTTCTGATATATTAAAGATCTGGGTGGGTTAAAGGAAGTATTTGGCTAGTTTAAACAGCAAAAAATACCAAGAAATGACAGCTGTGAGGATGCCGAAAATAAAACCTTACATTGAACTTTAAATTAGAGCACAGAGTGAATTTTGGGTCATATTGGTTAAATGCCAATAAACGGTTTATAATTATTTCACTGATGTGGATATGGTCCTTGGGGGACCCGCATGGAAACTTGGCAAAACCCTTGCTTAATACTGGAAAAAAGAAACTCTTAGTAAACTATTTGGAATGGAGCTTTTCAATCTTGGAGTAAACTTTAATGCATTCTGTATATCAATTCTGATTATTGATAAAAAAAAAAAAAACTCAAGAAGATATTTTTATCACCCATAGTTTTACCTTTAATAAGACCTATATGTTGTTTAAACTACTATTTGACTGTGGCACAGGTGTAACGTGTGACTTTTATCACCTGGGCTCCACATGATCTCCAGTGAAGGTCTTTTGTTCTTATTTTCTTTTATTGACTTGTCTAAGACTTTGTGGCTGGTTTCCTACCATACCTCACTTTAGACATGCTTGCCTCATCCTTTTCTGTTCTCTTCTGCTAGCCCCAGAAGTGAATGTCTGTTATCCTCAAAAGGGCTAATGTTATTATTGTTGTCATTGAGTCGATTCCGACTCATGGTGACCTCATGTGTCTTTATTATTTTATATCTCAGATTATTTCTTCCTTCCTTCCTTCTGTCCCTCTTTTCCTCTTTCCCTGTCTTCAAGCCTTCATTGAAAGGTGATTATAGAATTAACCTTTCCAAGATATATGTGGTTTAAAAGAAGGATATTTATCAATACAAATCTCTAATTGAGTGGAGCATGTCAGAGGGTCAGTGCCACAGGAAGAATCAAATTTAATAATGTGTACCCCACTTCTGAAAAGTTATTGGCCTGTGATCTAGCAAAAAAAAACCCCAAAAGATTGGTAGACACAAAAATATATTAAAGGGGAAGAAGTTTCAGCCAAATAGCATAGTAATATTTTTAAAAAATTAAGCCTGTAACTATATTTTTTACGGCTCACCCCCCAGTTCTATTTAATGATCGTTTTTACCAAGGCATAGTTTTTCTTTGACATGTTTTTTAAAAAAAATTAACTTAGTTTTGGCATCCTTTAAAAATAATCGAATTTTGGCTTACCTTTCATCTGCCTTTGACTGTGAACTTACGTGAAGCTAGCAACTCACTATCAATGGGGTAGTTTGATTTTGTCTTCATTCTGAAAAGATACTTCTGAAAGTAATCATAGTATTGAAATTTTGCCACTTTATATATAGTATATTAATGTTAGTTTTTTTTTTTTCCTTTTAGTTTGGTTCTAATATCTTGTATATAAAGCTGCTCTGAATTAGTTTTTTTTTTTTTTTTTTTTTCGGTGGCAAATGCAGTGAGAATTAGAATAGATGATTTTGAATTCTTAGTGAATGGCAGTGTAATTCCAGATGGCTATCTTAAACAAAAACCTAAGATTCCTGAAGCCAAAAGTCTGGCTTTGAGGAGACTATAGACAACAAATGTTGAGGTTCTTTCTTACCTCCAGATCTCAGAGGGAAGCCTAATGGTGGAGATTTGGTGTCTGGCAGGCCCAGAGTAGTTTGTTCTGGCCCACAATTACCCCAGGATGCCTATAGCCCTTTAGGGAGCTTTAGATAGTTTTAAGACCGATACAGAAATTTAGATTCTTTCTTGGATGGTCCTGGGGGCTTATTTTGCCTGAAACCCTGTTGGCTACCCTGAGCCTGGTCTAGATGATTCAGAGCATTTGGTTACCTGTGTACTCCCTCTGTCCCCCTGGACCCACAAGAGGTCCTAACAGGCCCAGGAGGTGGAGGTGAAAGGCAAGCAGACTACCTTTAGATGTTCTGCATTCCTCAGGAACCTATGTGAATCATTTCATGGTAAACTTAATGAGACTTTGAGATTTAAGAATTTGCTTTGTTTGTTTGGCTTACCTTGTAAGTTGGATCCTTTGCCAGAGAAGAGACTATTCAGTGCAGATTTTAGATCGCTTCATTGCTTTATTTTCTTGATTCAAATTACTGATGATGTTTTGGAAAGAGTCAACAAGTTTAACAGGACTTTAATGGTCAAGAACTGTAGTGCTGACTGCAGGAGAGGCCATTCAACCTTAATAGCTGTCATTCCATCTAAACAAAAGACTTACCCTGATTACAACTTTGGCAAAGCTGGAAGGGCCAAATGAGGACACTGGAATAATAATGCTTTCCTAGGCAGAGCAAAAGTGCCTGAGTATTTGCAACAAAGGAAAAGAGTGTTCAGTGAATGGTAATAGATGTCTTCCATCTAGGGACTTTCTCATACCTCTGAGGGAAAGAAAGATGAAAATTAGCGTTTATGGAATATTTACTGTGTGTTCCCACTGTGCAAGGTAGGAGGGCAGAAAGTGTGGGTCAAAGTATCATTCTAAATTGGCCATTTTGACCATCATAATTATAATTTGAAACAAAGTGAATGTGATCAGAAAACAGTACTAATCGTTATCCTACCTGACCAAGAATAAGATAGTTATGTTTAATATAAATCATTCTCTTTAGTAATGATTAATAAATACTGTGTTTAGCATTGTGGTAGATAAAAGGAAGTATAAGATAGTGACCTTATCCTATCCTTAAGCTTAAGGTCTTTATAGTTTGGTAATTATAGATTTCATCTTTCAATGCCATGATCTAGTTAAGTGACCAGTGAATGTCCTAGAAAGGTACAGTAGTAGTGTTTTTCAAACTGAATGTTGAAACCCATTAGTGGTCTATGTGAACATATTGAAAACGAAATAGAATAAGAAAGTATCAAAATGCATTGCATGAAGTAAAGTTAAATAGAGAGGTATGAAACTTGTTATATACTGGGTCATAATGTAAAATACTATGGGTTATAGTCAAAAAGCCACTGCTCTGAATATCCAAGGGGAATGTATGCTGAGCAGAGAAGGAGAGAGAGAGTTTGACTGTAAGGAAAGAATAAGGAAAAGGGGTCAATGTGAGTAGAGACATGAAAGCAAGAAGGTAGCGTGATAGCTGCGTTCAGGAAAGAGAGCAGACCATATTGAGCGGAACAGTAGAGTCAGATTAGTAGTGGGAGATGACTGGAAAGGTGGTTTGGGATTAGATTGTGGAAAGTTTTTGAATTCCACTCAATTTGGATTTTGTTTTGTTGGGAGTGGTGAGTTATTGAGGCTTTTGAAGCAATGAGAGTGGGCATTTTCAAAGCATTAAAAAAAGAAAAGAAAAAATGCAGTGTAGCTATAGAAACAGGGAGACCAGTTTGGATGCCTTTTAAGTAGTCCATGTAGTAGAAAGTTATAACAGCCAGCATGCAGGTGATGGGATTGGGA